GGAGAATAATACATCAGGACCAATTGCATCGATTTTTACTAGATACACGATGAATTTCTTCTCTGGATGGCCCTCGGCAAGAGTATCGTACAGTCCAATTATTTCTTGCTTCCCTATACACATCGGTTAAAATTTATCCACCGATACTTTTCTACACTCTTGTCTTTCCATTCGATATCGGACTAACTCTGAAATTCAGTGTACGTGTATGTAATACTTTTCTAACAGGATAGCATTGAAAAAGTGAAATTTCGATTCACTGATCTATACAATTCCATGTAATTGCAAAGATTTATATTGTCGATATTTTATGCTCAGACAAAGATTCATATTGTCAATAATTTATGTTTACGCAAGGATTCGTATTGTTAATATTTTACGCTTATTATATTGAGAGAGAAAATTAGTATTAAATTTACTTCACTTTTCTCAATGGAAACGGCGTGTATTGATACTTTCCATATAATTGCAAAGATTTGTATTGCCAATACTTTACACGTATGCAAAGATTCATACTGAAAATATTTTATGCTTAGGCAAAGATTCGTGTTGTCAATATTTTATGCTTATTATACCGAGAGAAAGAATTAATATTGAATCTATTTCACTTTTCTCAATGAAAACGTGTCATTTCTACAGGGTGACAGCGGCGGACCACTGGTACAACACGACAAATTGATTGGAATTGTGTCATGGGGCTTCGGATGCGCGCAGCCATCTTATCCCGGTGTCTACACGCGCGTGACAACCCTCCGAACTTGGATCACAGAGAAAATTGGCCTATGAAGGTTTCCTTCTTATCTCGAACTTAAGCACGAAATGTTACTAGACCAACTACAAACTCGACGAAATGTTCCTAGCACGCATTTCACATGACCGTCATCTTTGGTTGCAATCACGATTGTATAGTCAATGAAACAGATACAGTAAAATCGCAAATTCATTCAGGTGCCAAGATAAACATGTTTCTAAAGTCCTGACAAGAAAATTGACAAAAACGAAAAGACTCTCGTTAAAAATAAATTGAAAATAAATGAAAAGTACTAATTAGTATTTCTAATTTTTTCAATAATACACAAAATCCTGTTAGTCGTCAGTTGCCATCGTTTCACAGCACACACCGTAAAACAGAAATACATGTCGCCGGTAGATCCTTCAATTTACAACCTGACTATATTTGTTCCACCGACTATACATATTTCACCAGCTCACTCTTGCCATTACTGTCGCTTATACTCAACGTAACGCGATCTCGACACGTCGAAATGTTATCACAGAGATTGCTTTTTCCACTGCAACCGTATCAGAGGAATTATTATCAAATAATAAACGATCTTTGGTATCTCGACTGTAATTTGTTTCTCTTTCACCGGTAGCCAATTATCGCTGACGAATCGAACGCTTATCCGTTTCTCGTCGGAGAACTATTCTTCTTGAATATTCTATCCTGACCGACAATGTATGATCGTTGATATCATCGTTACGTTCTCCCCATGAAACGAACGTCGACGAAATGACAGCGCGAGCGTGTGGAGAGAAGAGGAGAGTGTGTTGCTATCGAGCGTTGCTCGTTTATTTAAACGCGGGCAAAGTAGTCAGATCGACGATGAGCCGTGTACGGATCTTAATGTACATGCGTAACAAGTGGTCCTATAATTGAGGCGATTATTTCTCATCGGAACTATTCGGCATTTAATCGGGCATTTGCCGCGTAAAAATACCATTAGTTGGACTAATGAACGAGCTGCCACGGGACACGGAGCCGATGCCCAGCTCAGCCGTTTTTGTGTTTTATCGGCGGGGGGGGGGGA